GGTTATTGGAGACAGTGAATGCATTGTGGGTTATTGGAGACAGTGAAGTCAGGAGAGAGCAGACAGTAGCGGGACACGGCGGTCTGGCTCGTTACTCACTTGCAAGGAAGCAGTGGAGGGCTGAAGGTATTCACTGGGACTGACAGCAACAGTGGTGGCCATGCTGTCCTGTTGTTCTGGAGAAAACACAGAGACACAGCAGAGTCACATTCAGGCTGCCTGAAGCGTCTATTTTCAGCAGTTAGGCTGCTCAAGGACATCACAGCACATTCCTTCAAAACAGAAAGAGATCGAAGAACAACAAGCTCGGTAACGTCTCGCTCTGATGACCAACGTTAAACATCATCAGTCACACAAATGAAGCCGGTAATCAGTGCATGCACTTGCAGATATCATGCAGTATAACTCACAAATATTAAAGCAAAAGGAATGCCAGAGGTTTCATTAAAATATGTTATCCTCTATGACTCAACGTTGAACCATTAAAGGACCTTACTGATGTTTTGCAGCCCTATTTAGCCGTCACAAATACATAGGCAGCTAATCATTTCACAAAGCTTAACATGTTTTTAATATTCAATTGCACTCCAAGTTAAAATAGCGTAATGGTTGTGTTACAGTGAATATAATGACGTCTTTGATGTTTTCTTTCTTTGTTATAGAAGCTAATTTACTTCATTAACTTAATGCACACTTTCAAAAAGTGTTCAAAATGTTTTTAACTTCCTTTCAATGCTAAAATAAAAGGGGAGTAACTAACTAACACTGTGATGAATTATCTATCGCAAACACCTCGCTAGTTTATGAAAGTTATTTTTCACACCATAACCTAGAGCTGTCTGGGGAGGTAAGAAAAATAATTCAGTCAACAGTACGACAAAACAATGAGACGGAGCTATGACCTATGATTAAACATAAGCTCCTTTAAGACCGCACTTCTATCTCTGATATGTACTATTTGAAATGTTATAAAGCGACCAGGTACACGGATCTTTTTGATACATTAAGTACTACCGAGTGTGAAAAAGCTAGAATAATTTTGATGATTTAATAATCAACATAACGATCACACACATGTTTAAATATCAAGGACAACAACTTGTGTTAGAAACATTTTCAAAACAACTTTGGTTCTTGTGCAAAGCAACTGACATTGTTTAGATGAAACATCTGTCCAGTGAGCCAGTTTACTGACAAACAGCTGTTATGTTTGGCCCTCGAAAAGTAAACAATCTTTGAGCAACAAATACCAAAATACTGATAACAACTGAGATGCTCTGTAAGCAAAGAAATGCACCATTGGACCGCAGTCATTACGTGACAAAAAGATTCAATTTATTGAGCGTATATTATATTTCTGTCAGCATAAGTACATTTGGGTCAGACTGCCCAATAGTTTAGGAGCAGAGTACATGTTGACGCAGTCTAATGACCCAAATAGGTTGAGGCTGATACTGCCCAAGAGATTTGTAACACAGCTTGTTCACAAACTACAATCCTCTATTTAAATATATACGCTGAAATAAATTGAAGCGCAAAAGACTCAACATATGTCATCTTTCACAAACTGAAGTATTAATATTTGCAGTATTTGAGTACATCACAGTTGAGCTCGAGGCACGTCCGCTGGCAAAAACTTGAAATCAAACAGCGGGTGACACGAAACCACATGACAGCCACAGAGTGCTGCTCTGGGAAAGTACCGAGTCATCACAGATGAGCTGTAACTGCGATTGCACTCATGAGCAATTAAGTAGAGCAGCTTGTGCCTCTAAAGGCAGAGCATTACCGTTTCATTTCAGACAGTGTGTCACAGAACATTATTAATCAATATTTTCAGCTGTTCTGAGAGTATTTTCCAGAAGCCTCTTTGACTGATTGTCAAAGATTGCCATGTATTTATTCTGTAGTAAGGATTGTACCATGTAATGGTGATACACGGGGGTCCTTTACAACCGCATTCAAATAAAGAAAATAAAAACATGAGTTGGTTGTCATGAGGGAAGTTCCTACAATACAAAGGATTCTTAAACTGTTGTGTTGTGGCTGCTGATCAGCAGACCAAACAGGAAATGTTGCCTCTGTTAGAGCCGCCGGCCTCATTAAGTGGATGTTTTATAAATGCAGCTGTGGCACCAACACCTTCCACACAGAGATACCACAGCATGCTGAGGGACTAATCTCTCTCTTGCCTAATAATACTTCTTTGGCAGTGGTGGAAAAAGTATTTAGAACTTTTACTTAAGTCACTAATACCACAGTTTAAAAAATGCTCTATTATGAGTAAAAGTCCAGCATTCAAAACTGTGCTTCAGTAAAAGTATGCAAGTATTAGAAGTAACATTTATGTATCAATAGTGAAAGTAGTTCCCTGTCAGTGTTTAACTATTATTTATGATGTCACTGGATTAATATTACAGCTGCATTTATGTGCATGTTGCCTTTTTCTGCTGTAGATGTTATAGTTGTGCTAATCTTAACTCCTTTATACAGTGGGTACGGAAAGTATTCAGACCCCTTTCAATTTGTCACTCTTTGTTTCATTGCAGCCATTTGCTAAAATCAAAAAAGTTAATTTTATTTCTCATTAATGTACACTCAGCACCCCATCTTGACAGAAAAAAACAGAAATGTAGAAATTTTTGCAAATTTATTAAAAAAGAAAAACTGAAATATCACATGGTCATAAGTATTCAGACCCTTTGCTGTGACACTCATATTTAACTCACATGCTGTCCATTTCTTCTGATCCTCCTTGAGATGGTTCTACTCCTTCATTGGAGTCCAGCTCTGTTTAATTAAACTGATTGGACTTGATTAGGAAAGGCACACACCTGTCTATATAAGACCTTACAGCTCACAGTGCATGTCAGAGCAAATGAGAATCATGAGGTCGAAGGAACTGCCCAAGGAGCTCAGAGACAGAATTGTGGCAAGGCACAGATCTGGCCAAGGTTACAAAAGAATTTCTGCAACACTCAAGGTTCCTAAGAGCACAGTGGCCTCCATAATCCTTAAATGGAAGAAGTTTGGGACGACCAGAACTCTTCCTAGACCTGGCCGTCCAGCCAAACTGAGCAATCGTGGAAGAAGAGCCTTGGTGAGAGAGGTAAAGAAGAACCCAAAGATCACTGTGGCTGAGCTCCAGAGATGCAGTAGGGAGATGGGAGAAAGTTCCACAAAGTCAGCTATCACTGCAGCCCTCCACCAGTCGGGGCTTTATGGCAGAGTGGCCCGACGGAAGCCTCTCCTCAGTGCAAGACATATGAAAGCCCGCATAGAGTTTGCCAAAAAACACATGAAGGACTCCCAAACTATGAGAAATAAGATTCTCTGGTCTGATGAGACCAAGATTGAACTTTTTGGCGTTAATTCTAAGCGGTATGTGTGGAGAAAACCAGGCACTGCTCATCACCTGCCCAATACAATCCCAACAGTGAAACATGGTGGTGGCAGCATCATGCTATGGGGGTGTTTTTCAGCTGCAGGGACAGGACGACTGGTTGCAATTGAAGGAAAGATGTACAAGTACAAGTACAGAGATATCCTGGAAGAAAACCTCTTCCAGAGCGCTCTGGACCTCAGACTGGGCCGACGGTTCACCTTCCAACAAGACAATGACCCTAAGCACACAGCTAAAATAACAAAGGAGTGGCTTCAGAACAACTCTGTGACCATTCCTGACTGGCCCAGCCAGAGCCCTGACCTAAACCCAATTGAGCATCTCTGGAGAGACCTGAAAATGGCTGTCCACCAATGTTCACCATCCAACCTGACGGAACTGGAGAGGATCTGCAAGGAAGAATGGCAGAGGATCCCCAAATCCAGGTGTGAAAAACTTGTTGCATCATTCCCAAGAAGACTCATGGCTGTACTAGCTCAAAAGGGTGCTTCTACTCAATACTGAGCAAAGGGTCTGAATACTTATGACCATGTGATATTTCAGTTTTTCTTTTTTAATAAATTTGCAAAAATTTCTACATCTGTTTTTTTCTATCAAGATGGGGTGCTGAGTGTACATTAATGAGAAATAAAATGAACTTTTTTGATTTTAGCAAATGGCTGCAATGAAACAAAATTTGAAAAAAAATTTAAAGGGGTCTGAATACTTTCCGTACCCACTGTATACTGCTGGGTAGTTTAATCCACAGCAATACATCACGTTTTATAAGATCATTATAAGTTTGTAACGTCTCTAAAAAGTCAACTTTTCATGACCTCAGAAAAACAGCCCTTGTCAGCTTTGTGACTGTGAATTTTCCAGCTGATCCGAGACGCTTTTTAAATAGTTTATGAAGTTCAAGAAGGAGTAGATTTTTCTCAATTTACAAAGCAACACTTCATCCTTCAGCTTAAAATCACCACATCTGATGATGCATGGGTTTTACCGGTGAGGTATGAAACTGTAATCTGAAGCTGTTAGACAAAAGTAGAGTAAAAAGTACTACATTTCCTTCTGAGGTATAATGGAATACAAGTATACAGTTGCATACAATGGACACACTGAAATAAAGTGTATATGTATTAAGCTCCATCTTTATCAGCTGCAACATTAAAGCAAAGAACACATTAATACATCAATAATTATAAAGCAGTGACATAATATAAAGTTACATGATTCAGAAATGGGCCATTTTGCATTCTTTCGGTACCTTAAACTATATTTAAATATCCATATACTTGTGTACTGTGACACTTTACTTGAATAACCTTTTTGGATGCAGGACTTTTACTTGTAACAAAGTATTGCAACTTTAAGTTAGTGAGTACTTTCATGCACCACTGCCAGTAATGCACACATATTTAGAAAAAACAGTACGGCCTCAAAATAGCGCCGCCATCTAAAACACTGTTGGTTTGCTGTGCACAACCAGCTAACGGTAGCTAGCTAGCAAGCTAACCTGCAACACTAGACTAAAGTGGCTAGCAGCTAGCTTAAGCTGATTTGGCCCGAGTGCAGCTTAAAGTTTGTACTTTTAAACGAGCCAAGACGGGACCGTTACTTGCACCATCACTATGTTTTATTGTGGAATAGCTGGGCGTGGGGGAGGGGGGAATGAGTAAAGAACAACAGCTACACTCGCATATTTGGCTAGCTGAAGCGTAGCTAGCTGGCTAGTCAAACTCTCTTTGAATACGTTACAGAAGAAAAAAGGCAGACCCTTTTTTACCGGAAGTGCTTATTGTGGTTCACACAACTGGCCGAGCCACCCCCTAAAAACACATTTATTCGTTCCGCATAACGTCCAGCGCGTTTCTCTCCAATGTAAATACAATGTTTAACGAAGTAGTAATATAAAATACACCAATGTTTTAATTCCTACCCACCGCTCATGACGACATTCGCTCTCCGTGAGCCTTGAAGACCGAGCCCCGTGGAGGAACCCGCCCACGCTCTCGCTGCGCACCAATCCACGCACAGTGGAGCGGTTGAGCGACGCGCGCGCCGACCAATCAGCTCGAGCTTGCGGCCGTTGTGAGTGAAATTCAAGCGAGCCGATCGCGGAGCGAGATTTCCCACACGTCACGCGAAGGACGGGAGGCTCGACCAATGGGATGTCGAGATTTGTGCTCGGTAGGAGGCGTTTCCTAAAGAGTGAGCCGAGAACAACCGAGGGCCCTATTACGGCGAGGTTAGCGGTTTCACTGACGGCCCCGACGACCAATGCAAGAAGTGAAGGCAGAGCGACACCCGCGTTCATTAATGAGCTTTGAGTCGCTGGAGCGTGTTTAAACTGTCCCATGTTTCATTATGAGGATCAGTCCGTTATGTGCGATAACACACGCTGCAGTAAGGCCAGTGTCAACGGATTAGACATTTATTTTTTTTAAAGTATTGGCCTGTTAATGACTCATCAGAATCAGAATCAGCTTTATTGGCCATGTACGTATGTGTACATTGCTCTCAACGTACATACACAGAATATACAAATAAACAAGAAAAATATAAAAACAAGGACATTAAAGACAACAAAGTAGAACAGAGAAACTAAGTATAAACATTTAACATTTAACATTACTATACTACTTAATTACTAGATAAAGATACAGGCCACATCTGGCTGTTCTTAGAAAACACAACTTCATACTAGTTGCATGTGGTTCCCACTTGTTGGAATAAGTATTTCACATTCTTCACTTTGCCTAAAGGAATACTGATACCATACTGTAAGAAATACATTTAAAATGTTACTTAATTAGAAGTATGTGTATAACCAGGGAAATGTCCCTCTATACTCTTATAGTTTTATACAGGATATTATATAGTTAGATTGTCATTACTCCTCGTGATAATGATTAAGACTGGATTTTACTGTTAATGGTGGTTGTGGTGGAACTCATTTTAAACTTTTAACTGATGATTATTTTCATTATGGATTAATCTGATGATTATTTTCTGCATTAATTAACTCAATGTTTTTTTTAAAAAGAGAAAGAAGTGAAAAAAGCCGTCACAATTAGCCCAAAGTGACTTCATAATGTTTGTTTTGTTCATTATTATTATTGCTAATACATTAACGTTTTAAAAAGGGAGCACAATAGCTCAGATTTGTGAAGCTGGAACCATGAAATGTTTTTATATGAAAAATGACAGTAAATCTTCTGTCAATCGACGGATCATCTCAGCTGTACTTGTATATAAACCGTTGGGTCGTTTAACAAAAACATCTTCAAAACAGTTCTTCCTGTATTTTGTGTGTCAAAATCATCATTTGTAAAGTAATCAGTGCTGTCAGATAAATGTAGAGGAGTACTAATGTGCAGTATTTCCCCTCTGAGATGTGGAGTAGAAGTATAAAATGACATCAAGTACCTCAAATGTGTACTTAAGTACAGAAGGTACATTGCACCACTGCCTGGCTCTAACATGCAGAGGCCTGTTGTGTGTCGAATCCTTTTGTTATTCAACACAAACCTGCACAATAGTAGAACAATAAATGGCTTTTTGGCATTTGGTCCCAACAGCCAAAGAATTCAAATTAAAACTTAAATCAGTGTTTTTTTTGTTACTCCTTTTTTTTTCTTCTCACAAACATGACTCAAGCTCAGACGTGTCTCACTTGGACTCAGACCAGATCTGAACACAGAGGACTCGGCACTTGTCTTTCCGGTTTAGTGTCGGTCACGACCCCGACGAGCCCGGCTCTCAGCCTGTGGGTGAAACGTTCCAGTCGTGGCTGTCAGTCCCGTCTGTCGGCCACATCGGCTGAGTTGCCCTCCAGCGTCTTCAGCCAAACGATGAGCTGTCCTGTTTCTCACTGGATCACTCTTTTCACATCCACAATGCATGCAGGGCCCTTTATAGGCCCGCCCACCCCCACCCCCACCCCCCATAGAGTGCACTTGACCTTATTCACCATATAGTCGTGTCTGTTTTCCCCCATCCGTTCATCCTCCCTGCATCACTACAAGGTTCTTTTTTTTGCTTTTTTTAAAGTGCTTTATAGCAACGAGAGTCCTGCTTTTAGCTATAAAGCACTTTTCTCCCTCTTCACCTCGAGTGTGCTGTAGTTAGCGGTGGAGGATGCAGATACTGTCTATCACGTCTCCCCAGGCACCTCTGTGGAGAGTCTCGGAGAGAAAGAGCTGCATAATTTAACTGGGATATCTCACTTTCTTCATTTCACCAGCTTCACGAGCGAGCCCGAGCATCAGCCGGAGAGTATTCAGCTTTAAACATTTCAAAGTGAACGGCTGCCGTTAAAGAAATGGAACAGTTTCTATGCGGTTAAGCATGGATACAGTGTTAACTCACATAGTGTTGAGCTGAAATGATTAGTCAATTAAATGGAGTCACAATCAGCTACAATTTGGACCAATTAATCGTTTTTTACACATTCAAGCCGCTGTTTACGTCAGACTTTAGTATCTTATAAACCAAATATATAAGAATGTGTCTATTTTAGGCTTTTCAGATAAACCTATGAATTCAGTGTTCCTATTTCTTAAGCTAAAAAATACATTTAAAACCAGATTTGCCTAAAAGGAGCTTTAAAGGAGCACTTAAAGGTTCATTCTTGACTTCACAAACAGCAGCGAGACCAAAAAAAAAAAAAAAAGAAATCTCATGGCAAAGTCAAACTTTCTATTTGTTTCTGAAGTGTTCAACCCCATCATGCTGCATTTTGTTCAGTTGCCATGGAGATGGTTATGACAGTGACCTAAGTATAGACTTCATCCATTCATCAAAACATATCTCCATGACAACCGAGCAGCTCCGCACGCCGAGCAAGGCCGTGTCAGAAAGTAAGGTGGACCTTAAATGTATATTTCTCAAGATACACAGACGTTAAAAATATATTATAGACAAAATAAATGCTTAAAAATCCAGATAACTAAAACAGGACCTCATCCTGCCCTTCATTGTATTGTTGTTTTCTTATTGTAATATAATTATGAAAGCTTGAAACATGTTCAGACTCCAAAATCAATGTTATTCAAATATTCAAATGAAAAAAAACAATGCCACACACACCTGTTTTATTTTTCTTCTTACTGAAAACACTGAGCCAGTAGTCCGCTTCAGCAAAACACACCTGGGCGTGTCAAAAAATAAAACTGACAGGTAGAGATGAGTCACGGCAGATATACACACTCTGAGGCAAGGCATTGTGGGAAAAATGAGGCTCATAAACTCCCCAATACAGCAAAGCCGAATTCAGAAAACTGTTTCTGTGCAAGTGAACTCCACATTCGTTTTGAGATTTAATTGCAAAAACTCTCTTCTTAAGTGGACTTTGATGATGAAAGAACAAAATAAAATAAAATAAGTTTTATCATCTTAACATTATAGAGAAGTTCTGTTTTGCATTATTTTTTCCTTCAATTCCAAAGAGCTGTTTGGAATAAAACAGTGTCAATATGAGATATTAGTTTTTTTAAATTGCATTTCTTCGGTGTATTTTTCACTGTCTCTATGAACACCTGCTGAAATGTAAACAGCAGCTGTGGACATCATGTCACGTAAGAGCAACAGATAACAAATAATCTACCGAAAAGAGCCTCAATAGACCAGAATGCAATGCAGCTGCAGGACATGTGGTGCTGTGAGCATCAGACGCGGTTCATAAGATTTAAAACGACAGCACTCATCGAATGGTGGTCGAGGGGCATTCTGGGAAATGTAGGAAATCACTGCATTACGACATTCCAAAATATCTTCAGACATCTGAAACTGATCTAACAGAATCTGAAGGTGGAGTGTTTCCTTTCTTTGGAGAGTCAGATGTTTCAGAGAATGTTGAATGAACAAAGGTACAATCCACCAGGTTAGAGGAGTGACATCAAAAGATGAGAAAGTGACGTATGCTGTATGTTCTACTATATCTGGTCGTTTTTTGCGAAGTTCAAGGTGGAAGTAGTACGTCCCAATTAAACTCATACTGCATGCAACACTACGTACTTTTTAAGGGCCGTTGCAGTACGTCCTGAAAGTAAAGAGAAAAAGCAAACGATGTGGAACGCAGCTTTTGTGTTGTGTGGAGGGGCCATCTTCAACAGACAAATGCCCAAAAGCTGCTGTGTGGTGGGATGCACTACCAACAGGGTAATGAACCCAGGACTAAGTGTTTATAGAGGATACAGAAGAAGAAGAATGGGAATGTTTAGGCTAACTATATGTCAGTTAGCTAAAACATTCGGACAGACGATGCAACTTGTGTTACAGAATGGGAAAAAATGACAAAGCTGCAGTTTTATGTTTGCAAGTGCCTTAGCTAACTACAGTAAGCTAACATTAGCTCGCTAACAGCTAACTTACCCTATCATCATTTTAGTTTAATTTATCAACTGCACCCCTGGTAGAGATACGGTGTTAAAATAATCGTTTGAAGAGCTGAAATCTATTGTTTTTAGTTAGCTAAAGGTATTTCTGTTAGCGTTTTAGCTGTTGGTTGCATATTGTGGCGGCAAATATTTTTGCGCTTTGTCTCCATGAAGTCAAAGAGGAAAGAAAACTTTAACTTCTGTGGGCTGAAAACTTTCTCACATGTTGCACATCTGGCTACAACGTCACAGCTGGTGATTCCCATTTGAAAGCTAAACAAGAAACACCTGGTGTGACATCACTGATGTGGGCGTGGCCCGAAGCTCCACCCACCAATTAAGGAGAAGTAAAGCACAGTCGGTTTCCAGATGCCTGAATCACCACCCACGTGTCGGGTTCAAATGGATGTGGGTGTTGTGCTCGTTGAAGGCTGTTTCTAATGGCAGAACAGTCAGGACTTTGTGGGATGAGACTTACACATGCTGTACGTCACTGGACTAAGTGGATCTGCTAGCAACCGCAACTTCCGTGCTAACACGACATCAGTGGGACAGATCCATCTCTCACTAAGTAGTTGAGGCGAAACAAAACACTCCTTCTCGCTAAACAGAAATCCTTTTGTCGAAGTTAATTGTTTAAGGGAAATTAAATGGCAATTCGGTCTTAAAATCAGTCTAAAAACACAAACAAAACACCAAAACGTGGAGATGTTTAAGTATAAACTTTAAGATGAGGTTAAGATTTCATCAAATCCGTCTGCGTAAAACAAGCAAAAATAGAGAAATAGAATTGAGTATTGAATTCAATTTCAAACCAATTTTTTATGTCCGATATGTCTAATATACATCTGCAATACATTAGCATTGTAGCTAACATTACAATTTAGTTATTTCCAGGCAGAAAAAAACAAACCAGGTTCCCCAAAATGAGATTATAGGTCCTCCAACATGGTGACTTGCTCTCTTGCTGCCCTGCCTCTGTGTGTACATCTCTCCTGAGGGCAGTTTGTAATCCATAAACCCTCTTTTTGACAGCATGGAAAGGGAAAACAAGGAAACGGCAGCAAACAACAGTTGTACAAATTGACCAGTGCATTGTGTGTTTTAAAAGTCCAGTTCAGTAGCTTCGGGAAATTTTGCCAATGAAGTTCACAATTCTCCTTTTGTTTCAAACCGACACGTTTGGCAGGTGAGAACATGTCTGCAGTCCCTCTGAAGACGAGGCTGAGTCCTCTGCACCTGAATGTCTCAATGACTGGTTTCCCGCCGTCCAGCTGCAAACACTCGTCCCTCTTTTTGTTAGTCCAAGTCAAGAGAGAGGCCGGTCCATCCGAGTCCAGCTGGAGACCCAGAGGCATCCAGGGACTCTGATTGGCTGATGCTGGAAGACTGGCAGACCAGTACAGATCAGTCCTCCATACAGAAACCTGGGCAGAGAGACGGGGTGCAAAGTTAAAGCTGCTTTTACATGTTATCAGATATATTAGGAAAACAAAATTTCATATGAATTCATCGTTATAGTCACATGATTAACTACGTTTTCCCTTTCACCCATAGACTGTATATAAGACGTAGTCATCGTGACGTCACTCTTTGGTTTGTGGACAGATGTTTTGAAGCGTCAAGTTCGGCGATTTTGCCGTCGCCATCTTGGAATACGGCCGATGCCATGTTGTTTCTTTCGCAACCAATGAAGTGACCATATTTGGAATGCGGAGGAGTGATGTAGAGACGCCATATACGTCTCTGGTAGAGACCTGTCAATCACTGTAAGCCCCGCCCTAAATCATCCCCTGCTTTATGGTCTGTTTGATTCTAAATGGACCATAATGTACTAAATGAACATCGTGCTGTATTGAAGAAGACTTGAAACTAGAGATTGAGACCATAAACTCATGTTTACAATGTTTACTGAGGTAATAAATCAAGAGAGAAGTAGAGTCATTTTCTCATAGACTTCTATACAACCAGAGGAGTCGCCCCCTGGTGGACACTAGAGAGAATGCAAGTTTTAAGACATTGGCTTTACTCGGCAGAACCGGAGGTTGCAGCCTGGTCATTATCTTAATGTAACTTGTGTTTTTTTGTGCTTTGATAGAGCTGACTATAGAACAGCAAACCGGAAGGAACGGTACAATTTTTAAAAGGACATGGGGACCTGGAATTGAGAAGTGTGTCTCTAAGACGATAAAGAAGTGAGGCAGTCAAATTCACTGAATATATATATATATATATATATATATATATATATATATATTCACAAACACCCAACTGACACTCACTTGAGCTGAGAAGATCTCTGCTGCTACGTCTGCGACTCGGTCTCTTGCGCTGCTCCCACCACCCTCCGGATGCTCTTGATTGACAGGTACGTCTCCTCCTCGGGGTCGTAGTAATAAAACTTACTCAGGTAGGATATTAGCGGTCTGGAGAGAAGTGACGACAAACGCGGGAAACAAAGTCAGCAATCAGCCAAGTGTCCCTGTGTTTGTCATATTAGTACATTTTCTACTGTGAAATGACAAATCACTCAACATAGCATAGAGTGTTAGCATTTAGACAACACAATTATCTTTAAAGTAACAAACCTTCTGTGGCACAATAAGAAGTTAAAAGTTAGAGTCTATAGAATCAACTTAATACGGTTAATTGTGAGAAAAGAGCCTCATGTTTAATCTCATATAGCAAGACCAAAAGTCCTTTCAGTATCAAAGAGGCGGAGGCAGACTTTGGATGACTCCTCGGAAGTCCTGACACAGTTGCATGCGAGCTTTAAAATAGTTAACATTAGTTTAAGTGTATATTTTGAGCAGGTGCAGCATTTGAATGAGTACCTGGGCAGTGGAAGCTCCTGGATGTGGTCGATGCGGACCATTTGTCGGATGCAGAAGCGACAGAGATGTTGTAGTGACTTCACGTTGCTGAAGCGAGACACGGGATACAGCAGCTGAACCGGGGTGGGAGGAAGCCCTGCAACACACACACACACACACACACACACACACACACACACACACACACACACACACACACACACACACACACATTTCTCCGGTTAAAGGATGAAGCTGGTGTTTCTCTATATGTTGTGTTTATAGTAGAGTCAAAAAATACAATATTCGCCTGGAGACACGTGCATAATTTGAACCCCTCACATATACTGTATATGCATTCTCACAATCATAAATGATGCTCAGGCTGCATGCAGACATACAGACAGAGTCTCTCAAAGCACTTCTCACTAAGTGGCAGCACCACATCCATTTTTGATCGGCTAGGAGGCTGCGTGCAGACATATATGACCCATATTTTTACCTGGGACTCTGGAGCGGAGGAAGTAGAGGAATTTCCCGTTCTTGGAGTGCATGATGGCTCGCTCGATGAACTCCACCACCGAGTGGCAGCGGTCCTCAAACTTCGGGTGACACCACAAGCTGAACGTCCCTGGAGAAGCATTTTAACATATGTAAATCAGAAGTAAGTCAGAAGTTCACCACAGTCAGTGGAGTTTATCCTCCAGGGACCTTGAATATATGTTGCAAATTCCACAGCAATCCATCTAATAGCTGTCAAGATATTTCACTCTGAATCACTGGGATTCATCCTGAGGGGGCTTTGAAAATCTGAATCAAAATTTAATAGCAATCCATTCAAATGAATGTTTGTTATAGAATGTTCCTCTCTAAAATGTTACAAAAGATGCTTAAAAGACTATTTAATTGTTCTTTTGTAATTACTTTCTTTATGTGTTATTGTCCTTGTATTCCTTGTTTCAGGTTTTATATTATATCTCTATCTGTATTTTATTATTAAATTGTGCAAAATAAACTAAACTTTACTAAGAATTTCAGAATAAAAGCCTCTGATTTGGACAGAAAGCCTGCAATCTACAACCAGCTGTTCTGCGGCGACACACGTGCAGAGTGAATAATAGACGCCTCTGAATAAGTTGCTGCGTGTGGTTGTTGACTTCCTGTTGACTGCTCGGTGGTTGTTTATCTGCCCTCGATTCCCGTCAGGCCCCGATGCGTTCATGCACACATGATCGCGTTGATGTGGATGTGTTGTGTCAGTCGGGGCTGGATGTCTGAATAATGAATGTTTTTTCCAGGCATGACTCTATAGCTTTATTATGGTGACTCATTAATATAGAGCCTCGTTTATGTATGCATGTGTGTGTGTGTGTGTCTATCTTTCATGAGTCACCTTGGTAGCTTGTCACACGTGTGCAAACATACATGTGGCGTCGTAGTGTGACCTTATTGGATCTTTACAACGTCATGTTTGAGATTATTTTGATGTGTCTGTGCTCTGTTGTTTCTCTATGTGCCGTTTGGATGTCCTATTGTTATGTTCTTGTTATTGTTGCTGTGTGAACAATGTGTTTATAGATACAGACACTGCCACACACTCGTAGTAGGTCACAAGTGATAATTGAGAGGAATTATTTTTGTACGAGTCTAAACATTGTTTTTGGAGAAAATGCTGCAGAGTATAAAATCCCGGAATTATCATGTAAGAAAGATCATATCGGTAATTATTTTGGCCAGGATAATTGTGACGGGAAATATTCATATTGTTCTATTGTCTATTTTGTGTGGGTGTACTACTTGTGTGTGTATGTTTAGGGAGTGAGGACATTTTAGCCGGTCTTCGCTTCAAAAGGCTCGTTTGAGGGTTCAGACCTGATTTTTAAGGCTTATGTTATAATTAGGTTTTAGGTTTAAGTTAGGGTCGGGTATTAGTTGTGATGGTTAGGGTCAGGGGTTAGGGGTCAGGGGTTCGGGTCAGGGAATGCATTATGTTAATGAGTGTCTTTGAGGGAGGACATTTACGTGAATGAGGACATTTGATCTGGTCCTTGGTTTTAGGTTATACATTGAGAGGTATATTTTTTTTTGTAATGTATATACCTATATATACATTACAATAATTAGGTTTAGGGTCAGGATTAGTTTGAGGGTAAAGGTCAGGCAGGTGGCTGTGATGTTTGGGTTAAACTATAAACTATAACAGTTAAACTAATATGAATTTCATCATCTGCGCACCTGCAAGTGTCTGCAGCTGAAAATCTAGAACTGTACAGACTACGTGTGAACACATTCATCTGTGAGGATATCCACAATATTGCTGTCCATCCTTCTGTCAAGTGTGAGTACAAACGTGTGTGTGTGTGTGTGTGTCTCACCTCGGTAGTGCTCCATGCGTGTGTGGTGTGTGACTCCCTGCGACCTGAAGCTGAGGCTCAGGATGTATCGGGGGTCTGAACTGTCTCGGACCAGGAAGGACCCGTCCGGTTTCCCCTTCAGCTTCATCTCTGCATCCTCCCAGTTCATGGGACCCCAGTACCAGCCGCACTGGGGAGAAACCAAACAAAAACCTTCAGGAAACCCTGCGAGAAACACGACTCAAAAGGATTTTAGGTTCAAACTTTTAGCCGACTGATGTTATACTCCTTTAATTAATCCCGTGAAGGCCTCATTGGGCTGAACTCTTGTCTCAAAAAAGTAGAAATTGTCTCCTTCACAAAAATGATCAAAGGCACACAGTCGGGTTTGTGTAGAATTAAAATGCCTTTATCCATTTTTGTCCAAACAGCTTGAATAACAAAATAAAGTGTTTGATGAATAAATCTGTGTCATATACTGTATTTCTCTGCTTTCCTGTTTTTTTATGTTCCATCTTTAATCCTTAGTGTTTCAGTGTAAATTTAATATGCCAGACTGAACACTTATGTGCCATCTTTGTTTACCTTTTGTTTTTATGTCTCCAGCTTCAAAGCTTCCACTGTTAATCCGTGTTTAACGTCATATTGCTATGAATTGTGGGTAATTCCCTTACGCAAAGTCTGCATCTAATGCTGACTTACGGAAAGGGTTCATAGAGGGCTCAAAATGTCTGTGAGAGAGCCTCAAACACTCGATGATTTGACAGTGGGACAGAACTAAACCCTCACGTTTTTTTTTGCATTTTTGGATGTTTTTTGATCAAATATTAATAAATGAAATAAGAAAATAATCAGAAGATTCGTATAATGAAAATAATCATTAGTTCAGAAGATGCACAATGCAACATGCTCCACCCATAAATAAAAGACATACATGATAATATATGAACGTAGGAAATGAAATCATCTTTTAGGGGTCTTACCTTCTCCAGTTCTCTCAGACTGGCGGTGAAGTTGCTGGCTTCAGACCGTCGCAGGGCGCACAACATGGGGGGCGGGGCATGTCTGGAAGGGGGCGGAGCATTAGCCGGTGACGGGGTCGATTGAGGGAGGGCCCGAAGGAAGGCGTCTAAATCAGAGGAAGAATGTCAGAGAACATTTAAAGGTGACCAGAAATTTAAAATCTTTCTTTTATTTTTTTATTTTAGTGTCAGAAAAAATATATATATTATAACAATGCCACAGCTGCATACATTCTTGCTGTCTATTTTCCACCGTATTTGGACGTATTTGTGGAAACTGCGAGGATATTTGGAAGAACCCATCATGCTGTTAAGCGTGTATTTAACATTAAGAACCCCAGCTGGTTGACTTCAAGTGATATTAGGACCCACTCACATGCAGTATTGCACTAATCATTAATCAATCAATAACACTTACGTATGGTGTGCTATCACAGCGCACAAAATAAATAAAATGTAAAGTTCTTATTTGTATTTACAGTTTTCCACAAATCAATGCAAATGCTAAATGATAAATTGATTTCTTAACACAATTCTTAGATTTTGAAACCAGCTCATATGAACATAAATACATTTAGTGCATTAAAATGAGAGCATGGAAGAGACGACTGGTCACTTTTCCCATCAGCTCGTTGCTTCGTGATAAACATCTCGGAAGTAAATGATCCATCGATTGTTTCATCTCCTACACCAGAGACTCTGTTTGCTTCGTTTGCTCCACAGCGGCGCTCACTTCCTGCTTAGCGCCAGGAAGCGATGGAGTAGATTCAACGAAACGTCTTACCATTGAGGCTGAGACTGTGCTGGATGGTGGCGTGGGAGGGAAGAGGAGGAGGAGGGAGAGGCAGGGGGAGGGACTGCAGGGAGGCGCCCATGACACTCACTAGGAAAGGCCCAGGCTGAGGCCCGGCTATGTCATCTGGAGGAAGGACAGGAAGGGAAGGAAGGAAGGAAACAAGAGCAGGAGAAGGGTGGGATGGAAGGAAGGAGGTAGGACAGGAAGAAAAGGAGAAAGCAAGAAGGAAAGGAAGGAAGGATGGAAACAAGAGCAGGAGAGGAGAGAGATGGAAGGAATAAGGTAGGACAGGAAGAGAAGGAGAAAGCAAGGAGGAAAGGAAGGAAGGGAGGAAGGATGGAAACAAGAGCAGAAGAGGAGAGGGATGGAAGAAAGGAGGTATGACAGGAAGGAGAGGAGAAAGCAAGGTAAAAAGGAAGGAGGTAGGACAGGAAAGAAGGGCAAAAGCAAGGAAAGTAGGTAGGAAGGAGGGTGGGAAGGATACAAGGGCAGGAGAGGTGATGATGGAAGGTAGGAGGTAAGACAGAAAGAACGCAAGGAAAAGGAGAGGGTTGGAAGGACGGAGGTAAAACAGCAGGAAAAGGAGAAAGCAAGGAGGGAAGGAAGGAAGGAGGAAGGACAAAGAAAGTTTCAAGAGGGGATGAAAGAAGTAGAGAGAGAGGTCAAAAGGAAGGAAAGATAAACAAAGGAAGGAAGGAAGGATAGAGCTTTTCAGCACCATCAGACAGGAAGCCTCAGTCCACCAAATTAAAAGACTTCACCTCTTTCTTAATATTGAACAATAAATATTCTTCTATTTGATGGGTTTACTCAGTTTCTCTATTTGTAACGTCAACAAATAGAAACAAAAAGACCAAAACCAACAATGAATGTATCGAATCTACCTTCCTCTATTGTTGTCCAACAACTACTAAAAACACATCAGTGAGCCTCACTGTTGTTCCTTCATCAATATTAACACACACGCTGCAGTTTATTTTGACTCAATCACACACACACATACACACACACACACACACACACACACACACACACACACACACACACACATCATCCTGCTGCCACAAATATTCACTAGAGCACCAAATGAATCCGCCGCTGAAAATAGTCCCTAAACAAATGCATGATTTCCTCCTGTATGTTTGATAAAAACTACCGTTACCAGCTGTTTTAGGAAATTACTTTTAGTCTTTTTTTTTTTTTTTAAATTAAACTATATACAATCAGTGGTCAGAAAGTATTGAGACTAACACATTGTCGGTTTTTGGTCTTTTCGTGGCATTTTGTAGACGGTAACAAAAATATATAATATTTCCGACCTTTTCTTTTAAAGCAAACCAAGAGGATGCTGAAGTCAGCTGCATATGTGGGTCAGAAAATAACACCAGGCTCGGAGCAAAGATATGCATTTGAAAGGTCAGAGAAATTAGACAAAGAAAGCCCTGACATCTAGGAATATCACTCTTCATATTTCAGTGTTTACAATAAACTCCTTGTCCCGTATTCATGCATTAGTCTCCTATCGATTCGTGGTGACCTCTGATTTGGGGGTTTGGTTCTTGTGCATTTGCTGTCGCTGTCCCTCAAACAACAAACAATTAAATCAAAGCTCATCAATTGAGACATTGCTCTCAGATTTTAAATTAAATCTGCACTTTGCAGCTGACCTTTCAAAGCCGACCCAATCAGATTACAGCAGATTACAAAATCTGTATCTGTCTTTCCACAAACCAAATTGACAAGTAAGAATATGACCAAGAGGAGCCTCCTGTTCGTCTAAACGTAGAGAGGCTGAAGTACTCTGTACAGTTTGGCTTAAACTGCTGTCTTGCCACCATATTGTATCCTTGTATGTGTCTGACGAAAACGAGATGAGGAGAGAAACAGAAGAAGAGACAGACAGGAGGGAGAGAAAAGTACCTAACAAACTGAGACTTCGGCGTGGAGGAGGGGGAGGTGTGGGAGGGTGTGGCGTGTTCGCCCCTCGCCGCGAGATATCCACATCCACCAGGGAGACTGTCTCACCTGAAGCCGGGGACAAAGTAACAGAGGAGGAGGAAAGGAAGAAATAGGAAAAGTGAATTAAAGACAGTGAGTGCAGAAAGTACTGCGGGTTTGTGTTTCTGTGTTGTTTTTTCGTCTGTGCCGCAGAAGTGCCATTAAAGCTGCACCAAGCAGGCAGGATGTTTATGGAAAATTACACCCAGCTAATCAGCCTAAATCACCGCAATGAAGAAGAGCGGCCCAGCCCGGCTAATTGAGGCGCTGCAGATTCACAGTTCACGATATTCTGCAGTTTGGGGATGTTTCACTGGCAGCGAAAGAAACACATTGAAGCGTTAGAGCCAAATCCAGCAGGGAGAGCTGGACTCCCCCACTTTAGATCTCTTCCTCTAGCATCTTGTTTTTGTGTGGGGGTTGTGAAACATCACAGACCGGCTAGTACACACCAAAAGATTTATTTTAAAACAACATCACCAGCATGGTGCAGCTTTAATGTTTCTGTTTTAATTGGTGGTTCATTAAACTACAAAAATCATCACATTCAAGGAGTGGATTCTTTTCTGCGAAACTGAGATCCACGAGCAATGTGGGACTCCAGAGCGTACCTCTGAAGCCCTGCGGACGTTGTGGGGACGATTCTCACAAAGTCAGCTGAATAATGTTTAGCCAGCTGAGCTGCAGACCTCCTCGCCCTCCTCACCCACAGGCCCTTTGTGTCTTGTCTTATCTGGTGCACCAGTTACAGCGTCTGACTGGTGAGAACAGCTAAAGGTCTCAGCTTTACAAATACCACAAATGCTTTTCTTTACTTTACTGTGAATTATTATAAATTTACAGGAATAGAGAATCGACACCACTGTCATGTCCGTCTGTTAAATATGAAAGCTGGTTAGCTTAGCTTAGCATAAAGACTAGAAACAAAGGGAAACAGCTAGCCTGGCTCTGTACAAGTAATACAACTATACTACTTGTCGTTTTTCTTTTTTGTACATATTAAACAAACAAGATGCAACGCGTTACGCAATTAACCATCTTCACATAGGAGCTGTTATCTTTGGGAGCTAGCTTTCTCACCCGATTCCAGTCTTTATGCTAAGCTAAGCTAATCCGCTGGCTGGCTGTAGCTTCATATGTAACAAACAGACATGAGAGTGATCTTCTTGTGTAACTCTCAGCAAGAAAGCGAGTCAGTGTATTGGCAGGTGAAAAATAGCAATACCATAGTTTAAGAATACTCCAGTCTCCCGTTACAATTGTACTTAAAGATATGCAAAAATTTCCTAAAAAACAATGTATAGACCGATACAAAGATAATCCCTCATCACCACTTATGACCCACTAGACATGAGTGGTGACGTCTGTATCTGTGTCTGTAACCAACTATGTGACTACATATTATACCTTTATTAAGTTTTATTATCAGCTAAATGTACGCGTGTCAAAAGTGGAAATGCTTAATTATAGGTTCTTATAAAGGTGGACGCAACAGTCAATGTATGGCAACCCAAAAGTTGTCTCTGTGTTGAAGATGAATAAGCCATTAGTATTAATTCTTCCATAATATTTCATAAACTATGTTTTGGTAGAAAGAGATGGAACTGATTTTTATACAGTTGAGCTGTTTGTTTTATGACAATCCATCAAATCTCATGAGCTCCTCACATGTTTTATATTTTAAATCACAAGATGCAACTCAACTCCAGCTGTCAGATAAATGTCAAAAGTACAATGTTTCCCTCTGAAGTGTGGAGGAGAAGTAAAGAATAGCACAAAACAGAAGTAGTCCAGTAAAGTACATTAAAGACATTGAGAAAATGATATTTGTTTTCTTTACACCACGATACGCTACAGTGGTGTAAAGATGTAATACAGCAGACACATTTATAAAAGTATAGTTAAAACGTTGTAATATAGGGTGATAGAGATGTGTTTGATCTGTCGGCTGTTTCTTAAGAGAAGATGGAACTTTATTTTGTATTGTTGTGCAGAAGCTGCGGTACAACGTGGGAAGGACTGCAAATATGAAATATCTATAAAGGTGCAAGTATAAAAATATGAATAACCAAATCAAGAAAACAACACGAATACATCTGAAGTTACTTTAGTTCTATAGAGTGCTGCAGGGAGTTAGCATCGCACTGTTTCCCTCAACAACAAAACAACAACAGGATTGTTTCTTTGGATTTTGGATTATTGCAGAAATGAATCTTCTGTGAAGCGTGAATACAATCTCCAGAAGTAGAAAGTTAAAGTTAGGAGCTCCACCACGGTCACATGACTTCACGTCTCCATCACTAAGCTAAAGGAGGACTAGTGTTCTAGTGAGGACGTTTAGTCGTCTCATTTAGACTCTCCTTAAAGACACGTGAAGCTTTAAATTCACCAGAGGAGGTTTACTGACCTATTTTATGTCGTAGAACAAAACGTTAAAATCTCTTAAAGACCTTATTTCAAGCATCTAAACAAAAACCCATTAAAAAAAAACAACCACATTGACTTCGAGACGAGGGAACCGGAAGTGCAAAAAATGCTGACTCATTCTCAATGCTGACTCACCGCACCAATGTTACCATGGGAACATTGAATAAAATGCTGATGAAAAGCGATCGATCCCCTCTTCGTTTAGGGACTTCTTTTTAAGCATGAAGCTGCGTCTATTGTGAAGATGTAGGGGAGAGCGGGGTCGACACCAAAGAACCTTCAATTACTCAAAGACTTGAACAGAAGTGAAGATCATTTGATCCCTGAACAGATACGGCGATCTGCTAACAATTAATTACGTTTTTTAGAGACAAACATACATGAAAGGCACAATTGTGCTTAAATAAAGGAGTGCGTTTCCCCCAAAATTCTGTCTCCGCGGTTCAGTTGGAATATATCATTGCAGCCACTTGAGTGAACGTTCACTCAGCGACCTGCAGTGGATCTTATTCAATTATAAAGAAAAGATTTGCACCAAAGACTAAAAACAATACTGTCCCAACCGTCACTTAGTGTACTCATACAATACAAGTTTCCCCCTGGGGATGAATAAAGTATACATCTATCTATCTATCTACTCGTGTACCTACAAAGATTCAGACAACGAGCGTCAACTGATAGGAAAGAAGATAAGCTTTCCACCATCATGCTTTTCGTAACTAAAAACGTTACGCTATAAATACATATATAGCAAAAGAGACATAATTTGACTTTAACACGCTGTAGGTCTCAAAACTGTGAATACAATGTGAGGAATAGTGAGAAGGTCTCCGCTTTGAGGATGTGGCTGAGTATCGCGGTGAATCATGGGGCGTTAGTTACTTTCTCATTTGGTAAAAAGACGTCCTCTTCCTCTGTTTTCTGTGGCAGGAAACAGAATGTTTTGGGGGTTTTGGACTGTTGATTGGTGGGAAAAAAAGCTATTTCAGGTATTTTCTTTCATAGTTTTCTGACATTTAATTAATAGATGAAACTATTAACGTACATTTAGTTTTATTGTTGGTTTTTGGTGATTTTATAGCAAATGTTTTTATCTTTTTTTATCTATACATCTCTTTTTTTTCAAATAGTTGTGTACATAATAGTCCTGTCAGTTCTTTACATTAATTCGTCCGGCTCTGTTGTGCTTGTTCTTTGCTGTTATGTCTATTTCTGTGTAAGTACATTAAAAGCAATGCAAAAGAACTTCCTTGTATGTGTTCACATACTTGGCCAATAAAGGTAATTCTGATAATCATGAAACATGAAAATAATCTTGAGTTGCAGAGAGTTTGGAGCGGAGTTTCATGTGTCAACAGGTTTTTTTTTTGTTTGTTACCAAAGAAACAAAGAAAGTGTTTTCTGGGGGAAACAAAGAGTTACAACCGAAGCAGCGAGCAGCCCTTACCAGTGAAAGCAGAGAGGGAGGCAACGAGGGAGGCGGGGGAGAAGGCACTGTGGGCCCTGGTCAGTCTGGGCTGGCTGTGGCTGCAGGACAGACATCAAGACATGCAGAAGAAGAAGAAGAAGAAGAAGAACATGAGAAGAGCGTTAGAGTGCAGAGAAGAAGAGGTGTTAGTCACTGCAGAGGTTCAGAAAATGTGCTTCTTCTCCAGTATGAGGCAGTTTTGGGTCCTGCAGCTTATTTAAAATAAAAACTTTTTTCTGTTTGATGCTCTCAGCTCTGGCAGTCAAGACTTCTGAAGCTATGTTTTTTAATCATAGCCTTCCTTCAGTGTGATGCTGTGAATAATGACTAAGCAGCGAGAGGGATATAGAGGGTGGCAAGCCACAAAGGTTTGGAAAATCTCTGCATCTAATAACGTGCAGCACTGAGAACGTTTTTTGGGGACGTCTGAGGGGGACGGACGAATATAAGTGCCAGTTGAAGGAGCTCAATCAAGGAAAGAAAGACTGCCCCAAAAATAATGTAATAAACATGTCTGGACTCTGAATGAGTTATCAGTACATCCTAAATGTTTTGCTTCTTTTCAAATATTAAACGTTTATCTTCCCCCTCCTTAAATCTTCCTGACCTATTGGCTATATCTTTTTTCACTTTATGGACTCACATTTTGGGGAGTTCTAATAAAAAATCAAAACACAACAGAGGAAACTCATAAAGGGACACCATAATGCACATATTTGTGGGTACAATGGCACATCTCGGCCTTGGTCGCTCCCTGTAATGATTCCTGTGTCATCCATGCAGGTAGGGTTTGATCTTCTTCTCACTGACAGAGGGGAATAAGAATATCACATTGTAGGACCGATCTTGGGCCGTTTAGGGCCACGTAGAGCTGCTCACCTGTCTGCGTCCTGCTCAGCGCCAGCGGTGCTCGCCATGTCCACCAGACTCCCGGCAGAAGACACTGAGTAGGTCACCGAGGGCCTCTTGTCTAGCAGGTGGTTGGAGCCACTGCAGCTTTTAGTCCGGAACAGTTTACTCAGGCGGATCTTTAACGAGCCCTTTTTGGACTTCCCCGGAACTTTGAGCGTCTTTTCCCCGCCCGCGGAACACCCTGTGGGTGTCCGCGGCGCGCTGGCGCACCGCTCCGGCCGCCTCCTGGGAGTCGACGCCTGGCTCGGGTTCGGGCTTGTGGCCCACGGTGAGTTCTGGGCCGGCGTGTGCGACTGAGACGTGGCCGAAACCTGGGCGACAACCTCTGAATCCCCGGAGCTTACCTGCGAGAGCCGGCTGGCTAAATTCCCGTGGAGGCTGCACACCTGCGCGCCAAGGTGCGCTGCCGCCGCCGCCTCGGTCGCCGCCGGGGCCATCCCCTCCACCTGCCTTCTTAGCTCCGCTTGGAAGCTGCTGATGGAGAAAGCCCCGGACATTTTCTGAACTATCTCCCGTTTCCTGTTGAGTAAAAACTCGCGGCGTCCATGCTCATCATCCGGCTCACCCTCCGGGCACTCGTCCATGCCCAGGCCGGCAACATCCCCACTCCCCAGTCCCTCCAGGACCAACAAAGCATCGCTGGTCTCTGTCGGGTCATCTCCGGGCTCCACTCCCCCTCCTGCCGGCCTGTGTGCACCCTGACACGAACACTGCGGGAGCTCCCCAGCTTTGAGCAGCATCTTGGGCACCGCACCGACCCCGAGCTCCCCGAACCGTCGGGCCAGCTCAAACACGGCTCCCTCTCTGTCCCTAGAGGCGCATCCCCATTTAGAGTCAATCACGGTGAGAGGGTTGGATCTCTCCGTCAACAAGGGCCACTCGGGCGGGGTAGTGATGAGTCGGTGCCGGCGGCATAGCTCCGCAGCTCCCTGCATCCCCGCGGTTACGACCGGCGGATGCGCTCCCCACGTCCGGTCCAGCAGGTCCTGCTGCTGAACGTCTCCGGGACTCAGGGTGTTGTTATTGACAGCCGGGCCGGAGCGGCCAGACCCCGGGCTCTGGTCCAAACCCAGAGCATCCCTCGGCTGATTCCGACGGTCTAATTCCAAAATCCCTTCCCCGTTCCGCATTATGTTGGAAAAGACCAGCAGCTGAGGCCGTAGGCCGGGGCTGGGGGCGAAGTCAAAGCCCTGGGCCTCCATGGGGCTCTGCGGCGGAGGAGGCGCGGACAGCGGGTCTCGGCTCTCCGTCACCCCGGAGTCAGGTGCAGTCGTGCCCTCGCCGCTCTGCTGGGCTTTGTTCAGGCGTCCGCCGGGATGCTCGAGGCCCGCCGTCAGATCTCGGCTGATATCCAAGCCCGCTTTGACGCCGCTGTGAGCCAGGACCTCCTTCCCCATCCCCATCCCCGCCACCACCACCACTCCTCCTCCCGGCGGCAGATTCCCGTTTTCCGCGTCCAAGCGGTCGTCCTCGGCCGCGGAAACCAGGCGCATCAACACGAAATCAGGCGACATATCTTGCGCGTTGTTCATAATTTATTCCTCGGGGAATCGCCAAACGAGAAATGAGTAGGGCGATCTGCTCTTCACATAGCAAAACCGCGGAGATCTCTTTCCTATAATAAAGAAAGGGCCAAGCCGCCGCTGCCTCCCATAAGTAGGCTATGAGCGAAAATGCCAAAAAAATATATCAGGCGATTGTTTCATCCCTCCTCCTCCTCAACGACAGCTCAGCATCCATCTGGTAAATATCGGGGAAAATGAGCGCAGTTCGCTCCCGGCAGCAGGCGGACCCCCTGGGTCAGACATGCGGTCTGATTTGAGTAAAGAATAAAAGCCAGTAGAGTCTCCTGGTCAGTGACCACAGTCTGCCTCTGTGTTCCCAGCCAGGCCCCACCCGCTCCTCCTCCGCTCAGCCCCATAATACCGCTTTATGAGCGCAGATGATGGGAACTATAAATTAAGACTGTGGCGTTTTTTTTTTTTTGTTGTAATATCACAGGGCTGAACCTAAATCAGCGCCACATCTGAACAGCTGATTTCGGTTTCCATTCTTTAAAAAAGGACAGTGATAAAATAATAATAATAAAAATAATAAAAAAAATACTGTATTCCTCTTTCTAGAAGATTCAGTCAGGGATCAACATCCTGTCGTGTTTCTGCGGTGCAAGTTTACATTTTTGTAGGTTTTATCTGCAATATTTTAATATTTCTGACCCAATGCTCATATTTTTTAAGTGGTGTTTGGGGTTTCTTATATTTATTTATTTATTTATCTTTTTTTTTTTTTGGTAAACTAATGTCAGTGGGAAGTTCATATCTATTCTAAACTACAACAATTTATATATTTCAAAGATACATCACAGAATATTTGGAGAAATATTTTTATTTTCATTGGAACAGTAATGCAGTTACACTGCAAATATTATAGAGCACCCCCCTCCCCGATGATGTCATAGTGATGTCATCAGGGTTGTCATGGATTGGGTTTAAGACGTCTTACAGTGTTTTCAGTTTAGTGTCGGGAGTTTGAAAGATCAACTCTGTCCTCCTGGAAATTGGGTTTCACACGACTCGTTTATACAGAAAATGTGTTTTTTATAGAGTGCTGCAGGAATGAGTCCTTAAACCCTGAAATGAGTTTGAAGTTCTGCACTTCCGGTTCTGTGGTCTAAAAGTCAATAGGTTTTTTTAATGGGTTTTTGGATAGACGCCTGAAATAAGGTCTGTGGTCGACACAAGCTAAAGAGATTTGTTTGAGTCAGTAAACACCACACTCGTGAATTTTGAAGCTTTTACATTTCTTAAAAAAGGAACAAGTTGCAATACTTAAAACGAGAAGAGAGTCTATTTAAATCTATAGTTGTTCTTAATGCTTGTTATCGGTGCATATGACGATGAATTCTGTGCAAAATCTGATGAAATCATGCAGGTTCACCAGAAACTCCTTCAGCTCAGACTCCAGAGGGGCCTCCAGCAGAGACCGGTCCACCGTGGACAGACCCAGATCCTCCAGCAGAGACCAGCCCACCACAGACAGACCCAGATCCTCCAGCAGAGACCGGCCCACCACGGACAGACCCAGATCCTCCAGCAGAGACCGGTCCACCACGGACAGACCCAGATCCGGCTTCTTTGCAGCATAGGACCTGCAGTCTGAAGCTCCGGCTGGAGGAGGAGAGCTCAGCTCCCGGCAGCAGCAGCAGCGTCTCCTCCTCCATCCAGGAGCAGAGCTTCACCTTCGCTGCTCCGCTGGGAGTCAACACCGACTCCACGCTGCTGGAGATCCAGGACATATTGCTGGACCCGCTGTAGAGAAGGGAGGCACCAGAACCAGAGCCAGGACTGAGAGGGGCAGACTGTCAGACCCTGCTGCAGTAAAATGAGAGGTTTTCTAAAGAGTCTGGTGCTCAGAACACTACCACTTTTGTCCAAAGGGACCGCCACAATCAACACAAAATCAAAGTTCCTTACTGTAGCTTTAAACAAAGTGTCATATAATACTAAGAAAAATGAAATGGGGCTCATGGGAATGCCATTAGATTAGGTATTTGGGCATAAACCAATGTATTGGAAAACTTGACACTTTGACCTGATCATAGCGCTCCGAAACACTACCGCTTTCATCCACAGTGACCGCCGATATCAACACTAAATTAAAGTTCCTTGTATTAACTTTAATGAAAACCATCTTTCCCAATTATTTAACGACAGTTGTGTTGCCTTTACGCAGCAGAGTGCAGGATCCCTGAACGTAAACTTTGTACTAACACAACCACCTCCTCGTGGTCCTCGTGGCTGCTGGTGCGACACAAATATTATGCTTTACTCACTCGTAGAAACTTGGCCTGTGAACAAATGTTTCTCACCACAGCATGATGGAGGAAAACAAAGTGGTACTCGTAATTTCTTGGAGACAAGGTTTAATGGAGGGTCTAATGAAAGACCCTACTGCATCATGGGAAGTGTAGATCAGTGTTTTTACAGGTACTAAAAGTCACAATATCTCACTGCTGCGTCAACATTAACCATTTATTTATTTTTAAATCAATTTCTCTCAAGTTCCCTGACTTTGTAAAGGAGAAATATTAAACTACCAGAGTACTCTTTTGTGAGTTGTCATATATACTTTTTAAACACAAACAAAAAACACTGACACACCCCAAAAAACATGACTGCATATAAATGAGTTGTGAGACTTTAAATGTAAAATAATATTTATAATCAGCTATTTCAAACTATTATTACATTATCCTATAGACTTACTTGTAACAGAGTATTTTTACAGTGTGGTATTAGTACTTTGACACCACCTACTTTAATGTGTCCAGGACTATTTTTATCGCTCACGTTTAATGAGGTGTTGAGAGTAGAAGTGTTTTTTCTCTGGCTTTCTCCCAGATATCTGAATGAGTTAAGAACACGTTGATGAAGTCCTCCGTCAGAGGACTGTCGCTCTGCATTCAGAGAGTTGTCTCATCTTTTCTGTGTTATTAATCCTCTTCTTATGAAACTCTGGTGCAAAGAATATAGATCACATCCATACTTTATCTAAATTGCTGTCACAAAACAGGAGGTATCTAAATACAAAGTATAAATATGAACCTCAAAATCACACATTTGCCTTTAAAATCAACAAAAATGTGTGTCTAGTTTTTAACGGGACATAAAACAAGCTTGATTGCAGGCGTTACATGTAAACGTCTTCTCAAATGTGTCCTACAACAGCTCATTGTACAAGACGGCCGCACTGTAACGGGGTGAAGGTGGGCTGTTGCAGCACATGGCGGCTCCTCACCTCGATGATCTTCTGAATGTGTCCGTTCAGTCAAACTGTCTGCGAAAGTGGCTCAGAGTGGAATTTATTGTGAGGAAACACAGCCAATGACAGGATGTTCAGAAGGACGGGAGGGAAACAGAAAAGAACATCACAAGAAATAATATAGGATAGAAAAATAAAAGATGATTGCAATAGAATCAAAGATAAGCAGAGATGTGAAATGAAAGAAAACAATTTGAAAAGGAAGCTCATTAAATACAGTGAACAAAAGCAGCAGGTTTTTAAAGTAACCGTGAGGAACTTTTAACAAACTGATGCCTCTATATCAGAGGTATATATCAAAGGTCCAGAACATCACAATAATGTCTAATTTGCACTATGATTTAGTCTAAAAAAATAAGAGTATTTTGGGGTTTCTTGTTCTTTTGAGGTGCTGCAGGGCCTCGGGGAGCAGCAGCTGAGCTTCATCCCACTGAGACTGCATGAAGCTCAGACAGACAGCGCCCAGCAGTGAGTCTGACCAACAACAACAACACCAACACCTGGAGTGCTGCATTAATGCCGTGTGGCCAGCAGATGGCGCTGCTGGCCACACGGCAGTGATGGATGTTGATGCTGCTGGTGTATCCAGTTAATGATGGGAGAGTGGATGAAGGGCCATTAATCCTTACTGTACGTGTGTGCGTTGATGTTTGTACAGCTATCTTTGTGAGGACCAACAACAGTTTAAGGACTCACTTGTTTGAGGGTTTTATGGCTCAGGTTAGAAATAGGTTCAGGTTAGTTGTGATGGTTAAAGTTAGGGAAAGGGGCTGTGGAATGCATCATGTCAATGAGTACCCTCACAAAGATAGAAGCACAAGGTTGTGTGTGTGTGTGTGTGTGTGTGTGTGTGTGTGTGTGTGTGTGTGTTTACATGTAAGCCACAAAGAAGAAGGCAGTGCTTGCTATTACATGAGGTTTATGCGGAGTAATCAAACTAACAACCTGCCCTGCAGAGCTGAATATTGATGTGATGCAGCCAGGAGGTCAGAGGTCAAAGGTCAGCAGCATTAACACTGTTTTATATCGCTGCAGTGTTTCACGTTTGTTTTTTTTGTGTCGTCATGTGCATCTAAAGCTTATGTCATTTTTGTCTCATTTTAATATAGTAGTGAATTTGTTCGGCACCACGTCATGCAAACACAAAGTGTTTCACGGGGAACATTTTAAAAGCAACAGAGAGCACTGAAAGAAGGGAATTCATCCTAGCTTGACTTCTCTTCTCTTACTTTGACTCGTTGCATCTCTTCTTGTCTCGGATTATTACATCTTTTCATTTTAGTTTGTCTCATCTGCTCTTCAGTTGTGAGTGTAGTCAACCACGCTCTTTAACTAAACATTACGATGTGGTTTTGTTGCCTGAACCCAACTTCCTGTAAACAGGAGTTTATTTTGAAAAGTGGCCACGCAGTCTCTGCCACGTCTACAACTGACGCCAGAGGGGAACCTAGAGCGTCATAGTTTAAAGCTCAGGTTCACTGACCAAGTGTCGGTGTTTGACAAGTTGGGAGTGAGAATATGTTGGATAATTCAAGGGGTAATGTAATTTAATTTGATGGATGATGATTCAAACAAAAGTTGTGTTTTTGTGTCAGATTTTATTTGCAGAACTTGGGTGAAAATTCCAATTGCCTGATTGTTTTATGAATGCAGATTTGTTCTTTCGCCGCTGCAACGGTACTTATGCTGTGGGCCGGACACTGGAGCCTGACACAAAACAAATATATATAATATAATATATAATAAGTAGAAAAGCAAAGTAAGACTCGGAGAGAGAGGAGTGAGTGAAAAAACAAAACAGGAACTGAAGGAGCGGAACGTGACTCATGTTGTGTTCAACCGTCTGCATCTTCTCGTCCTCACACTTGTTGTTTACATGTTTTCCTTTGACGGCTACATGAGAACGGACGGGATCACGATTAGGCCTAGACTGCAATGCTGCATGTGTGTACATGTGAGACGCATACACACACACACACACACACACACACACACACACACACACACACACA